GTCAAGTCTCCAAAACGAGCGTTTCGTACGAGACTTCCTCCAAAAGTGACACGTCAAGTCTCCAAAACGAGCGATTCGCGCGAGACTTCCTCCAAAAGTCACACGTCATGGCTCCAAAACGAGCGTTTTGTACGAGACTTCCTCAAAAACTCACACGTCAAAGTTTGCAAAACGAACGTTTCGTACGAGACTTCCTCCCAAAGTCAAGGGCATCGGAGCACACCCCATCGCGCAGCCCTGCCAAGCAGTTTCGCGATTCCAGCCCTCCAAACAACACCCGCTCACACGCCAATCCCAATGTCACAGCGACATTCACCTCTACCACAACTCACAACCTCACGATTCCCTGCGCCTGCCACGAATCTTTCCGCGTCCACACGTCTAACGCGCACAAAGTCCTGCACCTGCCACGAAATGTCACCTCCGTCACACATCGCAACCTCACGATTCCCTGCGCCTGCCACAAAAATCGCACTTCCACACCTCAAAACCCGGACAAAGTGCTGCGCCTGCCACGAAAAGTGACAATATCATCTCATGTGAATTTCAACAAAATTTGCACCACACCTCACGTTTGGAATGATTTCTGAGCACACTCCCATCCACCAAAATCACCATTTCAGCTGAGACTTGTCACGAAAACAGCGCTTCGATGTCACACCCTGAAACGCAAACCCCAATGGTACGGCCACATCCAACACCCCAAAAACACGACTCTCCAAACGCTAATCCCAATGGAATACCGACACAAACGTATCACTTTCACGAAACCCTGCGCCTGTGCAGCGAAATGCAGCACTTTTCTTGCGCGACATGTCACTTTCGTGCAAATCACAATGTAATAGCGGCGCAAACTGACACGTGACACATCCATGAAAAGTCACTTGCAAAAGCTTCCCCCAATGGCAGGGCCATATAGAGACAGCATACGGACGGTTGCAAACGGTTGCGGACGGTTGCTCTACCCTCAGATTCCCAAGTTAAACGAGAACCCTTCGCTACGCATGCGGGAAAAGAGTAAAAAAACACAGCGAAAACGGAAGAAACTGCAACTAAAATGTTTCAGGAAAATACAAAACAAACAGGTAGATCTTTGATTAAATACAAGGGACTTTTGTTGGACGTCGGAGAAAGTTGTATGCAACGTGGCAGCTAGCCGCGCGGAGCTCAATTGCCAGGTTTCCTGACAACAAAATTTAATCTGCAGGGTGAACATTGATGAACGCATCTAACACATTCTGAACAAAACATCCAGGGACCAAACGTTGGTCAGCTCAAAACGCACGTTACGCCGTATACGCAGAGCACATACACGAGTCGAGGCGCACCTGATTAGATAATTGATCAAAAAGTTTCGCGTCCAATGCCATGTTGGACACCTGATGTGTTTTCAAGCTGGCAAACGCCTGCTCTTGCGTTCTCACAAAAAAAGAAAGGAAATGAATGCAAAGGTTGCAAAGATTCAAACATTCTGTATACACAAACATGTGCCTCCACCAAAAAACACAACGCACAATAGTTCTTTTGAGTAGCAGTTTCTTTGTCACGGTCTTTTGCGCGAGCACCAGATCTCATCATAAATCTGTAGGCTTCCAGCTCCTCAGGCCATGGAGGCCATGTCTCGGTTTGCGTAAAACCAACCTGACAGCTGACCCACTATCGATGAGAAAAACCATTCTCTTCGAAGTTGGCGCCCCCTCAGGTTTAATTTTCTTTGTCCCCTGACCCTCTGTTCAGTTGAATGTGTCGCGCATCTGCGTTACCACCGACCACCAAGCACATGCGTTGGAAGCATCACTCCTCTTGTGACGAGCTGACAACCAAACCAATGTTTGAGACCGGACATGTCAAGCTATATGAAACTGGTTGCGAGCAGCGCTTAGCTTAGGTGTGGAAAGGGTCAGGCAGATCAGTCTTCCTAGATCTGGAAGCTCAATGTGCTTGACTGGGTCGTTCCAGCAGTATACGGCACTTGTTTGTCCACAAGACACGGAGCATTAGATCCAGGTTCATGCTTTTGCGCAGCAATTGAATCCAGACACCCTTCATCTTGACAAAGAGTGCCCTCTGCGATGCTTCTGAAAGCAATAGGATAAACATCTTCGGGAAGGAGGTGGCAATGACCCTGTTGGCTTGCTACCGGGTGAATGTGAGCAACTACATAGCTGACTATACTCTAACTTGTGTCAGACACACCCTGAAAGCTCCTATATGCAAGACACGGCGACGTCCCTTGTGACTTGGTCGGTTCAAGTGTTTGTGAAGGCGCAGAAAGCCTTGCAGGAGAGGTTGAGAGAGCGTCAGACGCCTTACCGATCCTGAGGACGAACAGCTCTAAAACGCCTTTGCGCTAATTTGGCCATTGGAGCACCATATCTTGCAAAACAGCAAAGCATCTCCTCTGGCTAGTGAAGAGGCAAAGGAGTTTTCTTGCCCTGGTTGTTTAACAATAAAGCTCTGCTCTGTGTGCCCCACTCCCACACAAATACAAGACGGGTTGCGGATTTCAACGCTAAGGCGGGAACACCTTCCTGGCGAGAACACCTTCGGTTCCTTCCTGGTCGCGGATTATGCCTCCTCTTGCTCACCACGGCGCCTATCTTCCGATTATAAGGGCATGGATCACACTGATGGGACACCCAAATCGTAGAGCAGGACAGCCGCTGATTCTCACTGGCAAGTGGGCTGAAGAGTCTGTCGACAATGTACTGCAAGTACAGGTAGCTTAGCCAAACATTCGCCGATCATCGAGGCCGGAGTTCGGACGAAATCTTAAGATTCCACAAGCTTTGTTGAAAAAGGATCCACCCGCGCTATCTGTTGACGCTTCTCCAGAAGACCCGTTCATGTGATCAAGCGGCCTGGAGCAGCACTGGACTGTCAAGACAACGCGGTCTTCAAGCCGAAACCTGCTCCCTTTTTGTTTTTTTGATCGGCGTTTGCAGAATGGTGTGATGGCGAGATACTACGGTGGCAAAATGGCATGGAGGTGGTATGAATCTGGTACAGTATAGGCTTGGAGAGAATGTGATGCTTGCTCGTAGACGCAGTATTTCCTGAAAGCCTCCAACACGCAACATCTGAAGAAACAACTTTATGGAAGAATTTGATCAAAGCGATTTGCTGGGTATTCGCTGCTTGTTGGAAAAAGGGCAATTTCCTAAGGGGCAGTTTGTGGATCTCAGCCCATCCGGCCGCTCAACCACTGAGCATGAGCCTGACAAAGACCGCGCGCGCAATAGAACCTGAGGGCTGTCAAGAAACAAGAGCCCTATTGCGTTCTTTCGTCTGCTTGGATTGCGAAACTACAGCCAGGGCGTTAGCGGCGGGCTTGCAGAAGCGAGCGCAGAAAGAAATTCCGGCAACAGGCAACGCCCAGATCTTCAAGCCAAGATCAAGATCCGTGAGCCTAAGTCAGTGGAATGGGAGACACTGCCCGGCAAACAAACCAGAGTGTTTGGGCTGGACAAACAGCCAAAGAGATCAGAGTAAGAATTTGCATATCAGTTCATCGGGCATCAATCAGGCGCGTGCCACAGCCCGACATTTCATCAACCGAGATCATTGATTCTACAGGTTTGGGCGAATCTATGGGCGACGCCTGTCACCTGACGATGTGATAGAAGTGATTGGGGAGTGTGTATGGGTGACGGACATGTTTCCCTATCGCAAGTGGAGAATAGCCTTGGAAATCCTATATCAACAAGGGCAATACGCCAATCATCTTTCACCCGTTTCCATGAGCAGACAGAGAGAGAGAACAAGGAATAAAGATGCTTTACTCCGTGACTGTCATCTCAGCACTCCGGGCAAAAAATGGGGCACGCACCTGGCTGAGTTCGCAGCCCCGACCGGATTTACGCACGCAGCTTTCACAGAGTAAGGTGCGAGAGTTGTGGTTTGCCAACCAGCTGGTACATCGGACACAACTGTTCAGCAGTACGGAAGTTGTGGTCAAGTATGTTCCTTGGAAAGACTTGAAATTGGCTATTGTTTCCACTCCGGCGAAGGGTTCAGCAAAAAGACACAAGCAGGATACTTAGCTGCCTTGTCAACGCCCGCGGGAAAAATAAATTGGGCGCCGTCGACCTAGTAATGTAGTTGAAGGAGCGCATGGCTAGAACGGGTCTTCATGTTCGCTGGTGCCCCACACAACTGATGCTAGTAGACGGCCTCACCAAAGACCAGCAACATCCAGCGGAAACCGTCTTAGAGCAGCATTCGCGATCGGCAAGTACCCGTTGAATCCAGAAACTGTGGTCCTAGAGAAGAAAACGATAAGATACAGAGGCAAGAACACTTAGCGCGTCGAGCTGCCCAACAAGCGGAAACGGCCAGGTTTCAGAGAATCACACACCTTTAACTTTGCGCTTCAATGTCAGCGCTTCAATGCCAGTCACTCTTGTTTCGTTTGCGCTTGTGATTGAGGCATGTTTGAAGCCTGCGCGCAAAAGGCAATGCGCAGTCATTCTTTGGCGCAGCGCATTCGGGCGCCAACGCTCAGAGAGGCTTTGCGCTTCAACGCATTCAATTTTGTCAGCGCTACCTTAGAGGAAGTGCGTCAGTTAGTCAAAGCTCTGCGTAACTCAAGTGAGTTGGAACTGCCTCTACCCCGAGGTCACTCTTGGAACAATGAGCGACGGTGCCAAGCTTGGTCCCCACCAGCGTGACTTCCTCGAAAGAGCTGGGTCAATTTGAAGCTATCGCCGTGCATCAAGAGATGCGCCAGTGGCAGCAAAGCAAGATCAAGAACTTGTCAAGAACCGATGCCTCCTTCCAAGACTTCTTCGAAAGCTGGCCATCGAGCGCCGGCGCTTATATCTTGCCTGAAGGCAGCATCACTGAATGGGGCAAGACGATCTGCGAGCTTCAAAAGGTAGCAAAGCGAGGTTTGACCTACGCTGCCACGCTGAAGCATCAAAAAGTCGAAAGACATGCGAGACTATCTTCCGTGGATCCATTCTGCCGGCGTGAAGGCGGTCTTAAGGGATTTGCAGGAGCGCAAAAAGCACACGATCACCTCCATAGGACGGTCGACGCGTCAATCCCATGAAGAGAAAAGGCACCGCCGCTCCAGCTTTGACATGCGTATATAAATATATATATATATGTTAAATATTTATATATTCACATATCATTAGATGTCAAGGACCAGCTGTTTATAGACACCGTCTGCAACTTGCTTTGCGCAACGCCGTAAGCTCTTTCGGCGCAAACCGCGTTCAGACCAGCTCAAAATATTGATCTTGATCGCGGCTTTCCCACACCGCAAGGTAATGAAGAAATCTGAAGCCGTATGGACTCTAAAGGCTTTCTCTCGACTCTACTATGCCTGCCAAAAGAAGAAACTCTGAACATCAAGTATGGCCATATGTTTACTGTATCCAATGCATCGTATTTGTTCGTTGCCTGGGCACGTTGCATGTCGCATGCTGCAAGAAGTAGCTTGCAAGGCCACAACCCTCCCGTAGCCACCGCATGAACTCAAAATAGAGCGTCTCTTCGCCCGGCTGCCTACGATCAAATGGAGGAAAGCAAAGTGAAGCAAAACTCAGTCCGTATTGGAGAAGAATCTAAATAAAATACATGCGTAAAGCACGCGCCAAATACATAATAAACAGAAAGAGAAATGCAGCAAAAAACAGAAACACATCTACACCACATCGAAACCCCATCAAGCATCAGGTTTTGGGGTTAGTGTTGTTGGACTCGAGAGGCATGTTGAATAGGGGATGCGTGAGCAGGCGCAAAACCAAACAGGTTAGAAGTTTGCCTACCACCATATGCTAAGGCTCCTCAAAGTGCAAGGAGCATCTAATCTAACGCCCCAACTTATTTAGCACACCCAACACATCACAACACACAAGGCTTCGTGAGTCTGGCACAGGTTAACATCCGAACAGCAGGCTGGGAGGGAGCGTTTGTTCAGTTTTGTGGTTCCTTTCTTTGGCACCCCTTGTATCGCGAAAACCCGCCTCAACACGCCAACCCCAAGGCCCACAAAGAGAAGAGATCTTTTGGCAAAATGACGGTGAAGGATGTGAGATCTGTTTGGGTTAACCAAGGCACAGGCGCCAAGAAAGGCACTGGTTCGCTTCATCCAATTCAAGCTCTGCTTTCACCTGGAAGATCAAATGCCCATGCCTGGAAGATCTGGGCAAATTTCAAACTTCACATGAACTAGCGTCACATTCAACCACAACACGTTCTTTCACGTAAACCGAAACATCTGCAAGCCGTGAATTTTGCTGTCACATCACCATCCCTCGTCGAGACCTCCTGGCACAAAAATTAGTCACTACTCACAGAGTCGAAATGTTTTGTCTCTGTTCAGTTTGCCGACGGAACTTCAATTAATTCCATTATTGCGTTTTTCCTCAACGTTTTAAGCGCTTGCTTTGCTCACTCCCAGAATGTTCCTTCAGCAGTCCGCGCTTTGGATTTTTCACGGATGTTGACATAAATGTCCAACGCCGACGCTTGCATCACTTCAACCTAACAAAGACAGGGAACGCACGTCGCAACCGGATGTGTTCTTGCAAACGAACAATAACAACAAATTCGATCAAATTTGTTTTGACTGATTTGCGCAACGCCGTGCAATGTGTCGAGGTGCCAGGGTCTCCATGCAAAGCAAGTCCACGACACGCGCAAAGCGCAATAGCCGAGCACATTCGCGGACCAACCGTGGACGCTGTGCGAAGCTCACGTCCTGACCGACGTAGCTCACCGTTCCTCGCTTAAAGTAACCCGGCCAGAGACCCCAAGCAATGTCAAATAGAAGAAAACGGGTGAGTGCGCCAACTTCCGCACTTTAGAGCACACACACACATGAGAGAGAGCACACACGCGAGCAAACATATGAGAGCACACGTATATGAGAGAACAGGATGACAGCACACACAACGACAACAAACATAGAATTGTATACACGCGAGAGCACAGACAGAAATAGAGCACAAGCATGAAAGCACAAAGACCAGAGCACACATAGCAGAGGACACGTATGTGAGCAAAAACGTGCCCACACGTATATGAGAGCACACAGAGCAAGCACATGAGAACACACATACACACTTAGACTGGCTACTCAACTGAATGAGCGTTTCTTTTGAAACTGAATCACCGTGCATTAGCCCTGAACGACCTAGTTTCAGCATTTCCGGACTAGAGCGCTCAAGGCCTGTGACCTTCAACATGGCGGTATGTCAGCGAGCGTCCTCGCTGATACCAAGCCTCTTCGTTGGACTGGTACTTGCAAGGACGGTAGGTTCGGTGGCAGAAAGGAAGCAAAGGACCTGTAGGTGACCCTTAGAAACAGGAGCGCGCTGTACGGAATGGTTCTGTTGCGGAGGTCGATGTTGAAGCCAAGCAAGTGTAGGTCATCCACAGGTTCGAGTTCAACGGGGCTGCTGAAGAAATCTGGGTGAACCAGGGATTGGATGGAGGGATGTGTAAGGAAGTGTTCGTTGTGGGCAAGAAAGCGGTTGTCGACGTATCTGTAGTGCGTAAAGTGGAGCTGGCAGCGATCGAGGACGGCAGGGTGGAGCTGGGGCCAGGCGTGCTCCATGAGCGCGATGGCCACGTTGCAAAGAGCAGGCGAGAGCTGGGACCCGCGGGTTCGTTTGACAGCGGCGTTGCGGGCTTGGAAAATACACGCGTCGAGTGCATGAGCACCGCGAGGGCGATGTCGCGCGCGTCCATTGTTCGTTGGGTCGGGTGACGAGGATGGTGGCGGGTGATGTGGGAGTGTTGCAGTGGGTTGCCAAGGGCACCAGCATCTATGGAGATGGCGTTTGTCTGGCGGGTAAGTTGCCACTTGGTGACAAGGCTGTGGACTGCGTCAGGCGGTCTTGAGGGATGGAGTTGAAGAAGCGTTGCGTGGAGGGTGATGGAGTAGACTGCTGGAAGCGTCGGCAGAGAATGGAACGTTGGCCTGGCACTGGGTGTTGTGAGGGAGCTGGTGCGGCAGCTTGCTGCGCCGAGACGGTTGCCAGACACCCGTGGTTGCAATGGCAGGGTCTGCAAGAACTGCGGGCTGCGTTGGAGGAATGTACACGGGGACTTGGACTGCACGTTGACAAGTCGCGGCTGTCAATGGCTCGGCAGCAGGCAGCGCAGGCTCAGCAGCGCTCAGCACGTGGCGGTAAAACGGGGCTCGAAATTGGGTGAGATTGAAAGTACCAATGGTGAGTGGAAATAGATTGGGCATCTTGAAGATAGGTCCCGTGGCGATTGAAAACTTGCATGGCAATCCACATGAAAGCAATCTGCATGATCAAGTTGTTTCAAGACAATGCACCGTAAACTCGGCAGTCTTGAAACAGGTGATACTGAAGGCGAACGAAAGATCAGGAAATGGCCTGCGGTGCATAGCGGCTCTTCAGAAGTTTCACAAATGAATGCGGCGCCCCTTGCGGGGATCGCACTGCACACCCAAGTGGGAAGATGCAGCTGGTCACACTTAGACTCAAGGTGATCAGTCCGCACAAATGAAATGTTGAACCATAATTGAATGCATCAGCGGCTCTGGGTCGGAACATTGGGAGACCGCTTGCTAACGCCACAAAAACTGTAGCAGGTACACGGATGGACGTCTCCATCCGCTTCCCCTCCAGCGATTTAGCTTCGTTGGACAAGGTTCATCGCTGGAGGCCTTGCTTCCCTGCTAATTCCATCAACCATAAAAGTTCCAAAAAGCACGTACTCCTAGACACGGAGTTGGACACGCACTCAAGATATTGCGTACTGACTCGATTGCGGTTTGCCACTCGCCAGCCTATAAGTAAAACCTAAGAGTCCAGGTAAGTTGAAACCGGTGACTTCCACGAAACCTCGAAAGCCCACGAACTCAAAAAGCGGAGCCGCGGCGGACCGTGCAAGTCTGCAGAATGCGTTAGCCCTTTACGGAAGATCGGAGTGACAGCTTTGCCAACAGTTCCAAAAAAGCAGTTGATCAGACCTACGGCATGCTTTTGCGTGACAGCCGCATGCCCCCTGCTCAAACAGCCAAAACTTCAACTGTTGACATGCATACTGACTCGAACGAAAAGGAGGCCCAAGGCGCAAAACCAGAAGCGACGATCACGGATCGACCAAGGTGACGACGCGCGCTCATGTCTGCCAAGCTCATTGGCCCCTCTTAAGAAAATGAAAATAGCGGCTCGCGAACACCACAACCACGCAGGTACATGGACTGCCTGCTGAAATATAAAATAGAAAGCCAAATCCAAAAGGATCCCTGTGACTCCAAGCGTTACACACGCACGCCTCCCCAAAGGAAGGCAAAAACTAAGTGACGAACAAATGTGCATTTGCGCACGCAGCGTGGACAAAAAGATGATGAGAAAAAGGACGAGACGGGACAAAAAAGTACGCGGTCGCAATGAAAAGAGAACCAAGTGCACAGGGACAAACGGCGAGCCAAACCTCATTATCAGAACCTGGGCGACCTGAAACCTAAGTGTACAGTGAATGTGCGCGGGCAGACTAAGGCCCTCAAGAGAAAGAAAGGAGTGAGATGAAAGGACATGAAGCAAGGAAAGACATGAAACAAAAGGAGGAAAAAAAAGTGTGTGAAAAGGGGAAAAGATGAAAAAGGAAACCAATGGAGGGGCCGGGAACCAATGAAGCCAGACCTCATTACAGCGACCTAGGAAGACCTGCCTCGTTTAAATGTACACGCTGCGCGCGCACCTAAGGTTACGACAGGCTACAATGTGAGCCTTGAACAAACTTCGGTCGCTGCGACCACGTGGCGTACCCGAAGGCTGCCCACTGCTGACCGCTCTGGTCGCCTCATGGCGTGTCCGAAGACTGCCTACTTGATTTCAATAATCCGTCAGGTCTTGGCAAATGACTTGCGCGTAAGCCACCTACGCTCGCTGCGAGCTGCTCTGTGTCTGGGCAGGGATACGTTCGACAAACCTCCGTTCGACGCACTCTTCGGGCTCACCCTGGGCTGACTCTGAGGTCAGACACACTCGAGATTTGTGTACGGACGCTGATGCAGTTTGCCACACGCCGGCCTAAGTGAAAAACCTAAGGAAAGTCTCCAAAATCAAAGTCTCCAGATTCTTGAAGCCTCCAAAGTCAAAAGCTTTAAAGCTCAAAGCGGCGACGGGCCACTCTTCGGGGCCACCCTGGGACTCTCACTAAGGAGAAACAGACTTATAGAAATGCGTACTGATGTGAAAGCGGTCGCCACACGCCAACCTGGGCACCCACTTTCTGAAAAGGTCAAGTAAACCTACGGAGCCTGGAGGTCTTCAAGAGGAAGCAGGGCCAAAAGCTCAATGCGTGACTGCAGAAAAGGCTTAAAATTGAAAGGCAGGTCAGTGCTGGCCGGGCACTGATACCACATCCACTTGGTGCGGTCTTTGTTAGATGAGGCACACCAAGCGATCCTCATCCCCCTGCTGTAACAATCAAGTTGAGCGCTTCCCTAAATCCAGGCTGTAAATGGTCAATGCAGAATCGCGCGTTGGTAAGCCACAGGCAGTGGCTTCCCTTTGACTCGTTCGGTCAAGCTCCCTCAAGCAAATGATTTGCCGCTTCCCCACTCTGACCGGCCGGTCGCGCGCGCGCGCCACACCCCCCCAAAGGCAAGAGATAAATGGTGAAACACAGCCTGATGGGACGAAGGAAGTGATAGTGCGCTTTTGTCGATCGCGTCGTTTGATTGGTCTGCAGTCCTTCGAAAAACCCAGCGATTCCAGGGCGTCACTTTCATCTTTGGGCATTCCAGCTCGGATGATTCCAGGCACCGGCCGGGCACCCTCAGATCACAAAATGTGTGCAAGCGTTGAGATCATACACGTCAAACCTTGCGCCAAAAGGAGGCTCGACAAAAGCCCGAGCACGCCTGGTGGTCAAGGCTGGTCTGAAGGACTGAAAGCTCACCCAAGCCCACCGATCTTAATTGAAACGAGGTGAGCACGGACTAGGCGCCAGATTGGCGTGTGCTCCGGGCTCAAAAAACAAAGCAATGCAAGTGACTGTCCTGAAGGTTAGAGCCAGGAAGGACACATACAACACAGCAACACTAGTTCGGCCGCAGTTTGCGACCGTTTGTTTTGTGTAAATTTGGTATAAAAAAATCTAGGTCTGGGACTATAAACGAGATCGCTGCAAAGCAGGCGCTAGCTGCACAGTCTTGCAGGGGCCAGTCATGCTGCTGCGACGTTGGTGCGCAAATCGTCGCAGATGGGAAATATAAAGGGAAGCTTAAGTTGTGATTTCAGGGCCACCTGAGCCGCGGTTGTCATTTCTCACGTTCCCGTTCCCGGAATCCTGCTGTCGAAAGCTGTTAGGTCAGAAGTGACACGCACATCACCACTTGCAGGCGGAACTTCGGTTGCTTCCGCACATCATAAGACCCTCGCGCCAAGCGGAGCTTTAGCACGTTGGCTAAAGACTCGTAACCTTTGTCCGATATCCAGGAGCAGCAACCATCAGTTCTGTTTGGAGCTGTGCAAAGTTTTGGGGCGAACGCTTACTTATACTGAGACACGCATCGGTCAGGTGGAAACCGTGCTTTTGGGCACTATTTGGATTTGTATCTCCCATTCCTAGACGTCTTTGGGGCTCTCCGCTGCTCTGGAGGGGGTGGCCCGCACAATTGGCTTCAAGCAAAAGTCCGCAAACAGTCTTCCAGTCCACTGGTTTCCCGAGCGTCCGGCGCCTGATAAAAAGCAACGTTATACCTACCGTCCACGCATCAACCGTCGCGAAAATCACGGCCACGCCTTCAAGCTGATCACTTGCATTTGCTACTAAATCACACTTGGGTTCCTCCTTCTGTCTTTCAATCTGGCTCACTAGGGATTGCAGACACGCCTTCCCAAGGGGCAAGTGGCCTCAGAACTTGCAAATTTGTAGAAAATATCTGGAGCTGTGGCCTCAGAACTGGCAACTTTGTAGTACAATGTAGTGTGTTGCAAAATTATATACACATGCGACGTCGCTGCGCCATGCGGCTTTGGGCGGCCACGGTACTATGGTGGAAAGTGTGTTTGCGTGGCTCCATGCTATTGGAATGCGAAAGCATGCTTTGCGAAAACGCGGCACGTCGCTGAGGTGTGTCTTACAAGAGTGTCCCACACGGGTGTCCAGCAAGAGTGTCCCACAACACTGCCCTACAACAGTGCCCGTGCAAGAGCATTGTACATGAGTCCACCACAGGCCCCACAGGTATTATCACATCTGCTATTTTGGCATTAGCACCATCGTCATCGTCGTCGTCGTCGTCATCCTCCTCCTCCTCATCATCATCATCATCACCTTGTGTCATCTCTTACTGTGCTTTCGGGCCACCCTGTCGTCTAGTTTTGGATCTGGGATGGGTTTCCATGTGGCCCGATGTCAAGGAGAATCCACTGAGATCGTTGAAGCTGAAACAAAACCCAAGGTTTGGCGTATGTCAGCGCAGCACAAAAAGGCAGATTTGGCTTCCCCAATCAAATTCTGCAGAGTTGAGAGCGAGCATGTCATGTTCCGTTCTTTACCTTTCTTTCGCATGTCTGGAATTCGGGATTGAACAGGATCAAAGCAGAGCCGAGCAACACGTGTTTTTTGTAAAGCCAGGCGGATTGCTGGGTGTACAAACCGGCTTACACTTTTGCGGTCAACGGTGACAACTTGGTGCGCCTGATGTGTGAGCTGGCGACGGTTGTGATCGTGCTGCGTTTGTTCGTGGTGTTGTGACATGTTTTGCGCTTTTGGCAAGACACAGTTCGAGGTGTGACTTGGCGACATTGATTGCATGAGTGATCATCGTAATCCGCAGCCAAGTAGCAGTCGTCTTCACCAAGCTGGAGCGGGTAAAGTCATTGCGGCAGGTTTCCCTGCGAACCTCAAGCGCCCAGCGCCCGAAGGCATGACATGTGAGCCACATGTGGCGACCTGTGAGACCTGGAAAAAAAGCATTTGGGCGCTCTGTTGCACTTGCTGTACCCATCTCTGAGTCTCCAGCGTGTTCCACCACTTGAAGAAAAATCCCAAAGACTTCCTCAGATTGAAGTGATCCTATCGTCTAGCGCAGTGAAATGAGAACTAAACAAGAACCTACAGGCACAAGAATGCAATAGTCAACAAACCAACTCGTCTCCCACTGC